GAAGCAGATGAGCATTCCACCGACACATGCAACTCAGAGCATCTCATTTGAAATCACACTACCCCTAAGCAAGTACAAGGAATCAGGCTTCGCTCACACACTCGGGTGGCAAATGATCTGTGGTTAACAAGCCCCTTTTTGGACACATGTAACAGTGGACAGGTTAGAAATGCACTTCCGTCAGACGGGAGCAGGATTTTCATGATCTATAAGAACTGCCTGGGAAAGCAGATTAACGATAGAATCAATATTGGTGATATGTTGAGATATTGGCGGCTAGGGTTATCTCCAAACTATGGTATGATCACTCCCCATCCTTCAAATTCCGACCAGCCTGACGCAGACCACCATCACCTCAGCCAACCATTCCATGGTACCTAAACGAGCATTCTTTTCTTTGTTCATTTGCAAATTAACTTCCTTTTAACGGTAGACTTGAATGAAGTTCAACTAAGTTACTCGCTATTGATGGTCTTCGAACGGACCTATTACACAAAGGCCGTCCAATGTTTCGGTAGGGTCGATAACTAAGATACCGGAATACATTTCGAGACTACGCACCATTATCTAGTTTACTAAAATTACTTGATCCATTACCAGTTTCAACCTTCTTCCACCAACCTCATTTTAGTGTTGTTGTGAGGCATATTTGTTTGAAGACAATTATAAACGAGCAATTCAGCTGACATTAAGTTGAATCTCTCGTTAGCCTCCAAATAACTCTCAAGCGGCTGTGTAACTCCCTTCATTCACAGTTTGGTGTTTATGTAGGACGTGAGTCTGATGAAGATCCAATGACCGCGCCTACCTACCTAAATGAAATTAAACGACACTCTTATCCTGGATAATACCGAGAATATTTTTCATCTTCGAGGGTTGAATGTCCTTTAGTATTCTTTTCCCATCGTATTCTGGGGCTATTTTACTTATGGGAAAATGCAAACACGAGGTTGAATACGTAACATGAGCTCACGTACTGAGGTGTTGCCCTACGGGGTGTGAATAGCACGTTTTGTTATTCTGAAACGTAAAGAATTAGCAGATACTGTTGGTCCCTCATTATTCAATCCAGTTCCAATCTTTACTTCTATGACAACGTTTCTACTGCGACCATCGATGCCCCCAACAGACTTCAGCATTTTTTGACTGATCGCGCGTAGACTTTCATAAAATTTGCTGGCTGATAAGCATCTTCACACACGTAGTTCATTTTTTCATAAATACGCGCAAGCATTCAGTGATGCAGCAACTGTCCTAGGGTAGACCCACATCGAATGTCAATCTCCGAAGTGATTGGCCTTTAGATCAGGTCCTGCGTAATAGTGACAGACTCCAAGTACTATTCGGGGGCAATAAAATAAATGAGGGTAACGGTTACAAACGTACAGATGGGTACATTTTTGTAAGTGTCGCAAAATTATCACATACATGTCGTAGTCATACGGTCATTGATACGTCGACGAATGATGTTTGCTCCTCCAAGTTGAGGCAGTCAAATCGCAACCAAGTTCAAGTGAATACAGTCATCCTTTCCTCATCCATATTTTTTCTAAATCTACGCACTGTGCTTCTGCAGCCAGTGCTGTGTATTCTTTATTCTTTGTGCGAATATGATCTCTACTCTGCTGTATTGTATGGAGCGATAACAGTTCGCTTGAATCGCTGCTTGATTCTAATTTAAGTCAACCATATCCCGGCAATAAATCATTTTGTACAGACGTAACACTCTACTCATAAACGACCATCAAAAACGAGAGGTTCAGCGGGATGCAAATGAGTCTCCTGTCAAAACCAAAGTCGTATGTATATAGGAATACTTTTCAAAATAAATAATGTACTTCGAACATGGAATGTCCTAGCACTTCACTATTGGCAATGCCACTGAAAGGACATATAGAAAATTTTAAGGGTAAACATGCCTTAAGTGGGAGAAAACGAACAGTCTAAGGCGCGAAATATGAATCCAGATGGTACAAGATTTTCACGTCTATCAATATGTACACTGATATATTTATAAATATACGGTTGAATACTTAGTTCAGGCTCCATTCTACTCAGCTCTCATCCTGGTCTGATAATCCATGTTTAATCAGGTATTCTCTTCCGATACGGTTTATTGTTTGTTTTCAGTTGCGAGATTTTGTATCCGTGGGTTAGGATTGGTGGTTTTCAGAAAATCATTGTGTACATTTTTATTCAGGCTGGTATTGAAGAATTTAGTATCTACTTAAAATGAACGGATACTCATGATATAAAT